AATTTGGAACTCAAGGCTTCATACTTGCTAGGCATTACCATCTAAGTCATACTTCAAAATTTTTCACTTCCAAATTTCAATAAACCAATGAGAGAAAATATTCACATTTCGAAAACTTCTCCATTAAAATTGCCTCTTTTGCTGCCTCTTCACTGATTTATCACTCTGCAGGATACTTGCATAATATTGCTTAAAAAATATGACTTACAAAATTAAGTGTGGCTATGATAATCCTTTATATAAGAAAACAAATAAGTATCCATAAACATGTAGAGCAATAATTTGTTGAAGTGCTCCACATATGAAGATGATAGGTACATACACATACACACACACACACACACACACACACACACACACACACATATACACATATGCATTGTATTGTATTAAAAAAGCGGAGGTACTGCTATTAAAATGTATACTACTAATTATTCCTGTGTTCTAGAGTGAAAGCTTATTGTAGTTTTAGGCTATATTAACTAAGTTTAGATAGATAGTATTATTTTAGTAGGTCATTTAAATGTCTCTAGCAAAGCCTGGAAAAAATTAACAAAATTATTTTCTTTTAACACTGTTGTAAAAAAGAGAGTGAAGAGTGAAATGATTAAAAGAATACTTGTTGCTCCCTTCAGTATAATTTTTTTTACTCAATTTTCTATCATCAATTCTTTTGGCACCAGGCCTTAAAAGTAACATGAGGCGTCCCCTTCCTCCTGAGGGGTACAAGGAGGTCCAAAGGCCAAATAATTTTCCTTCCCAGTGCAACCAAACTTCAAGAAAGGAACTGGCCAACAATGTAACTGGAACAAAATTTATCCCAACTCAGAGAATGTGTTGTGTATAACCTCCTCCACAGCTTCCCCTACTTTTATTTGTGCTCAAACTTATCATGACATTCAAAGAGCTGGCTGTTGTTTCCATGAACTTTTGCAGAAATCTCTATTGCTAAGTGATAGACCATCATTTCCCCAAATTATAGGAAGTTGAAGGTATTCTCTTCTCCAGGAAGAAAGCATGCTGCTACTAGCAATCAGTGTTTTATAACTGGGATGAGAATGTTATAAAGATTGGAAGGCAGCATTCTAAAGGTCTCTCTTGTTTGCAATTGGCAGAATATCAGCTGTTTCAATACAAGCAATAAGTGGCTAAAGACTGAACAAATTACTTCCATCCTACTTCTACTCAGTTCTTCTAGTCCCAGATGTCTACTCCATCCTCAGGAGAAGCAGATTAGCAGATGGATGTGAGCAGGTACATAGGACTCTGTGTTGCCACTAGCTCTGAGAACAATTGGTCAATACCCTTGAAGCCAGTTAAAGGCCTTAGTAAATGGTTCCAAACACTAGCAGATGGTTGATTGGTCCCAATAGGACTATTCAACATCTATATGGCTCCATGTGAGGAACTAAAGTCTTAGAATTAGAAGAGTGCTTTTTTCAAGTACATTATATTTAACATTTCATGTTTGTCTCCAAAACTAATGTCTTTTCATCATAATAGAGAATTTGGCATGATTCCACTTTCCTCCATTGGTAAAGAATAACACAAAAGGCTTGTTGTTCATGTGGTTGGTTATGAACTCAGGAAGGATTTGAACATGTTTTCATTTCATAACTAAGAGAGAACATGGTTAGTAACTTCTGCCTCAAAAAATAACCAAGCTACTATTGCAACTCAGTTCTAATAGTTATCTTCTTAGAGGAAAACAAAGTTATCATTACAAAAAATAATTTGTTTTGAATAAACCAGTTCTTGTTTCTAGACATGTTAAAACTATTTTTTTTTACCTCTGACACATCTCCAAACATTATGAAGGTCAACCTCAGGTTGAACCCTCCTGCTAGAATATTTTTCATTTTTCTTTCATTTTATTCAATAGTCTCATATATTCTATACCACCCTACTTCGGCTCGTTTTTTACCACGCACACCACCCCATTTTCTAATATTGTTATTCTTTTTTAAAGAAAAAATATTGAATAAGGGTTTCTGTCCTAAGATTTCAGCTCAAAGCTTTAAGGGCCTTTTGCTTGCTATACAGGCACGCCATGCTTTTAGCTCTTTCTAAGATAGAGTCTTGTTTTTGTTAGGGCCAGCCTCTGACTAGGATCCTTCAACCTCTGCCTCCCATATAGGTGGAATTACAGGTCCAGACTGTTCTATTGACACTGGGGAGGGAGGATCTCACCAACTTTGTACTAGGGCTGGTCTCAAATAATGATCATCATGAACACTGTTTCCCAAGTTCCTGGAATTATAGGTATGAATCACCACTTCTGGTCTTACACTTATGATCTTTAGTCAGGGATTAAAGTTTGGGTTTTATAACTCTACAGAGAATGTGAATTGCCTCTCTGGGTTGCCCATATATGCTTACACTTCCTGGAGGTGCAACAGCATTTCTAGAAGTACATCCTGCAAGGCAGAAAGTCATAGGCATGTGTGGGGAAAAGAATCAAAGAAATGCTTCTCTCTGACAAGTCTCCTGAGGACTTTCATAGGTTTCAGTTCTTCCTCATTACAACCTTGGCTTTCACTATTGGATCGGAGAAGTCCCTCCACGGAAAGAACCAACAGTCTTTAAGCATTTCCTCCTTTGCAGGACATAGGGTAAATTTCAGAAGATTCTTATGCCATTCTTAGGTACAACTTGCCAAATATCCACTTGAAAAATATTCACATGATGCCAAATTGCAAAGTATTTTTGTCCTATCTCTGGTAATCAAGTGAAGATTATTTTTCACTGAATGTGTTTAATTCAAGCAAGATAATTCTATGTTTATAAACACAAAATGTTAAGGATGAAATGAATGACCTGGAAATGAAATCTACTAGGACTGACAGTCCCTTCTGTCACCTCTATCATTGCATATGGTGAAATCCTAAACCCTAAGTTCTTAAAAGAAAGGTAAAATTGAAAACAGCTATAGGGAGAATGGCAGGTGCATATGAACACAGCCATGGACAAGTCAAGAAGAGAAGCCTGGACCCTACTCTTTACTCCAGCCTTCAGAAGAAACCAACCCTGCTGAAACCTTAATTTGGGACTTCTAGCCCCCATAACATAAAGTTTTGTTCAAGCCATCTAGTTTTGTTACCTCATTACAGCAGCTTTAGCAAATAAATACAGCTATCTGCTTCATTCCATCTTTTCTTTCTCTCTTTTATTTTTAGGTCTGAGACTGGGACTCAAACTGGGTATCTGCCACTTTCACTGATTGGGCAATGTTCTATCAACTGAGTCATGCCTCCAATCCCATGCTTCATTTCATCTTATCTTGGAAGTGATATTTCAAATTATGATATTCAATTATATGTTTTGAAAAAATACATGTATTACTACTTATAGATACATGCTTGTATTTATATTAATTTCATGTTTATTTCTTGCCTTTAATAAAACAAAAAAAAGCTATGCTTTTGGGGGGGAGGTCAATTGTGGGGTTTGAACTCGGGATCTGGGTGCTGTCCTCCACTCTTCAGCTCAAGGTTAGTGCTCTACCACTTGAGCCACAGTTCTGCTTCCAGCTTTTTCTGCTTATGTGGTATGGAGGAATCAAACCTAGGGCCTCATGCATGCAAGACAAGCATTCTACCACTGAGCCACCTTCCCAGGGCAGTGCCCTGAATTTTATGAGAAAGTATGTAGTAGTTGAAAATCATCTAAAACAATTTACTACTGAGTAAATAAAGACAAGTAAAAGAAGCCTTAAAAGGTCCCCTAGTCAGTTATTTGTAAAGATGGGTTACAAGATTTTATTCTCCATATTTTTATACTGTAACACAGGTCCACTCTTAGCTAGTGGCCAAGGATCATAGATCATCAAACTGATTTTCCCTGTTTTATATAAAATAAGTTTAAAGCCAGTATAATATAAGAACAAATAGATATTAACATTATGAAAAATAGCTTCCTCGACTGAAACCACTCTACAAAGTTCTTATGTACACTTAATCTATCAATATTTTTGGTTACATCATAAATATAGATATATAGTTGTACCATTCCAAAGTAAGCACAGAAATTATAGGTTAATACCTCAGTCCACGGAAAGATTAACGTTTTCTTTAGGATTCTGTATATCCAAGCAAAGGAATTTGCTCAGAAAGTCATGTATGCATTTGTTAATTGTCAATATTAGTTCTCTCAATTTCACTGTACATACTTAGGTACTTTCAGAGAAAAGTACTGTAATTCAAATAAACTTAATAGTTATTATGAACCTAATTATGTATTGGCAGAACCTTTTCTGTTTTATTCTTCTCTATTTTAAGTGATATTTATTTTGTTCTTCAAGATGACTCAGTATAATTAAGGTAAGAATCTTCAAATTGTCAGTATGGACGAAAGCTTTGACTATCTTCTGACAGAACTAGAGGAATTGCTTACTACCTAAATGATTTCAACAGAAAGAAATCCTTTAAACAGAAATATGCTGTAACTAAACTGGTAGATGTGGAATATCTCCAAGGTAAGTCATTCATCATATCCAATGAGATATCATCTTAGGGACCTTATCATAGAGAAAATTCAAGCCAATGAGTAGAATTGATTGAATGGGCCTTACAGTGTTGACCATTCTAGAAAGTTATTGTTCTATGAATTCATCAGTAATACCACAAATCTGTTCCTGTCATCCAACACAAGCACCACTCCTTCCTTCCTACTTTTGATGTCCATTGAGTCTGCTTCATGGGATAATTTATTTAATTAGCATACACAATAATGTCCAGGAACAAAACATTTAGTCACAGCCCATAGTATGTGGAGCAGGCGGTAATGCTCAATTCGAAATTTTTTCTTTGCTACTCATTTGTTACTAGGAAATAATATATTTATTAGTACCTTGGTTAAGATCAAGAAACTGTCTTTTATAAATTATAAGAATTACTTATACTACTATATAGAATTACTTAACCAGCCATATCATGCTTTAGGATTTTTTTCAAGCATTTAAAAAAAATACATATTACATTGTAAGACAAGCAGTTACTAACCTCTTTCATTTTTTCTAGTTCATTCTGTAAGGCTTGTTTTGCAATTTCAACTTCTATAAGCTGCTGCCTCAGTTTCTCATTTTCATCTTCTGTTGTTGTCCTCTTTTCTTCTACATTTTCCAACTCATGGTGAAGTCTCACAGATACATCCTTTGCTACCTAAATTAAAGTGTTTGTAAAAAGAGAATATAATTTTATTCATACTAAAAGTATTAAGAACCTATGGTGTTTTTCTTCATATTGAAAATATTAAAATGCCAGGCATTGATGGCTCATCCCTGTAATCCTAGCCAGTCAGGTGGCTGAGATCTGAGGATCTCAGTTCAAAGCTAGCCTGGGCAGGAATGTCTATGAAACAACTAACTACTAAAAATGCTGCAGTGGAGCAGCAAAAATCTCCTACCATATGATAGTTATAAATTCCATAAGTCATTTTTTTATGGAAGTGGAAACAATGTCAGAAAGGTAAATTAAGATGATTAACATTACACAGCTAACAAAAGGCCAGATGGGATGGTTCTAGACTTTGTTACCTTAACTTCGGTAGTACACTGTAGTATTTGGTTATACTGGAACTCCTACAGAGCCATTCATACACCTAGAGCTCTTCAGTACACTATGAGGTAGATGTTTTGGTTATTGCATTTATTGAAAACTGGAGAGACATTTATTCAAATGGCAGTTGGGGGCTGAATTTTGATCTTATAAGAGGTATTTAAATGTAGGAAACATTTTAGTCTTGATTTGGTCTTGACTTAGTCTTCAAATTTTTGGAATGATTGTTTGCATTTTTCCCCAAGCATTCAGATGATGATGAAAATTATAGAGTTTGGAAGACTAAGGGATCACCTAGTGTATAAACTCAAGACACATGCTATGGTTTTAGACTGATGAGGGCTGAACCTGGCTGAACCTCCAAGTGTGTCTAGGTCTGGGCACTGGAAATTAACCTCTATAAATGTTGTAGTATTTGTACCTACACAATGGTTCTATTAATAATCTCTACTGCATGTTTTTTTTTCTTGAAATTAAATGAAAAAGAAATGTATAAAACAATGCTTGCTACAGCTCCTGGTGCATAATGAACATGCAAATGTTGGGGAGAGAATGGATGTAACAATGACTTTGGTAAAAATTAAAACAATACTTATAGTTGTATTGAATATAGGGCAATTTTACTTTTTTTTTTTTTTTTTTGGTCGGTTGTGGGGCTTGAACTCTGGGCCTGGGCGCTGTCCCTCAGTTCTTCAGCTCAAGGCTAGCTCTCGCCACTTGAACCACAGCGCCACTTCCAGCTTTTTTCTGCTTATGTGGTGCTGAGGAATTGAACTCAGGGCCTCATGCATGAGAAGCAAGCACTCTACCACTGAGCCACCTTCCCCAGCCCCTTTATTACATTTTTATGCTGAAGTTAACACAATTAAAAGTATATTTTGTTATGCATGGTGATGGATTTTATACCAGGTGTTCATTGTCCGTGAGTCTGCCTGATAATCAACCTGAAGGGAAGAAACCACACAGTCCAACAACTGCATTTCAAGGCTGCATTTTCTCCTGGGAGAGACTCTGGAAGGAGTCACTTCACTTCTAAATGAGGTTCTGTCTATACTTCTCCCAAAGGGGTTGCAATTTGGATAGTTTTCCTTTCGGAAAGTAACTGGAGTGGTAAGTACAGAGAGGAAGGAGTGAAGTGTGGGTGGGGGAGTGGAGACGAGAGACGTAACCTTCACCGTGCTGGTTCTTTCTATTCTGGATGTCACCATGTCTGCACCTGTCCATCTCAAGCTGCCCTCAATCTCCCCTTGGCTTTCCCCGAGGAGACAGACCCTGGAGACCAGATGGAGGCTAGAGCCAAGGCACTGCCACGCCTTGTTCCAGCTAAGGAGGGAGGTGCTCTCTCCATCACTTCTGCAAGACCCACAATTCCTTCCAGGAACGCCCCACAACCTCGTTCTCCACGAACACACGCTGAATTCTTCAGATCCACCATCCAGTTCTCCTTCTGGAACCCTGATAGTTGGCAATCGACGCTGCTAAACTCCGCGTCCTAACCACCACGTCACGTCCTTCACTGGCCCTCCACCAAAATACCCCGCCTCCCACTCGCACCCCGCCACCAAGCGCGGTGCAGCCCCCGCGCGCGCGCGCGCCGCAGACCTTGAGGTCCTGCTCCAGGCTGCGCAGCAGCTCGCCGTCGATCTCCCCGGTCTGCGCGTAGCGGAGCCGTTTGCGCTCGGCCTTGCGGAGGCGGTACTGCAGGATCCGGCAATTTTTGTTGGCTCTCTCCAACTCGTGGCGCATTTCCTGCAGCTGACAGGCATCCTCTTCGAAGAAAGTATCCCTCATCTCGTCCATCTCGGTTCTCAGCTCATCAATCTCGTTCTGGAGCGGGGACGATAGGCCGCGAGGCGAATCAAACAACCAGCCTCACATCCGTCCCCTCCGATACACACCGAGCGCATCCTATTCCTACTCTGAACCCTCAGCTTTATCGTCCCCTCTCCAAGAGGGAGTGAGGGCTGACAAAGATCTGATTGAAGGAGAAGAAACTAGAAAAATAAAAACGGCCTGCTTTCAAGCCTTTCTCTCTCTGGCTCTAGGTTTATCCATACTCTCCTCTTCCCCCCGCCCCCCAAAAAGTGGGACAAACCTTGATCGTTAGCAAAGCGAAGGCCCAGATTTGGTTTCCCATGAACCCTAACGCAGTTTCAAATCCCAACCAGGCCAAGGAACAACCCCACCTTTTCAGTTCTCCGTACCCTCCCCTCCCCCAGTCTGGCAAGGCACCCCGAACAGGTTAGCAACCACCACACAGCCCGGCCAGGACACGCCCTAATCCTCCCGGGGAGCCCTCCGCCCAGGTCCGTTCCTCCCCCGGCCCCGGGGTCTCCCCTCTCTTTCTCACCTTGAGCGTCTCGTTCTCCTCTCGCAGCTTCTCCATCTCCTCTTGCATCTCCTCTTGCTCCTGAAGCGGCTGCGGCTGCGGCTGCGATGCAGGGGGCGCCGCCGCCTGCATGGCTCCGCCGCTGGCGCTGCCCTCTGCGTTCTGCGGGGGGCCCTCGGCCGCGGCCGCCATTGGAGAGGAGGAAGGGACGACGGTCAGGGGCTCACAGATGGCCGGGGAGCCAGCGACCGGCGAGCCGCGATTGCCGCCGCCGCCGCCGTTCTTGGTGTGCATCTGAGCCGCGGCCGCCGCCGCCGCCGCCGCCGCCGCGCGCTCCTTCTTGAGATGGAACTGGATGAGCTCAGACTGCAGACATCCTTCTTTCCAGTAGCCCCCTCCCCCGCCGCCGCCCCCGGCCACGCCGCTTCCGGAGTTTCTCCCGCTGGGGCCCGGGGTTTTGCTCCCGGCAGAGGTGGATGGAGACGGGGAGCCCCCCTCCCCGCCGCTGCCGCCCCTCTGCGGAGCGCGGGCGCCTTTCCCTCGCCAGCCCCTGGGCGGCGGCAGCTGCGGAGCGCCCCCCTCCCTTTCCCGGGAGCCGCCGCCGGCTCCGCCCCCTTCCCCACCCCCTCCTCCTCCTTCCCCGAGCGGAAGGGGTTCCCCGAGTTTGGAGGGTACTGAGTCTATCCCCCGGGGTGAGTCTTCCTGCGGCCCGGTCCTCCTGCCGCCCGCAGAAGGCGGGGTCGCGGCGGGGGCCGCTTCAGCACCAGCCGCGGGCTGGACAGCTCCCGGAGCGGCTCCTTTGGGCGCCAGGGGCGTCGCCTTCTCCGCCCCGCCCCCGCCCGTCCTGGAGCCGGCTGGCGGCGCCGCGCGGCTGGGGTTCTTGTTCCCCTGTTGCAGCTGCAGCTGCTGCTGCCGGACAGAATTGAGTTTTGTGCCGGCCCCCACGGGAGACCGCGTGGCCCCGGCTGTCTGTCGGAGGGAATTGTCCCGGGGTCTCGCAGGTGACTGAGCTCGCTGCTGCTTTCGGCTGCTGCCCTCCGGGTGCAGGCGAGCCTCGGTGGCGGCGGCCACCGAAGCTGAGATTGCAGCAGGGGCAGCGCCCCCGGTCGGTGGCTGACTCATGGCAGTCTAGGAAGAGCCTACCAGAGGCGACTTGGAATCGTCCATCACTAGATCCTCCTCTCTCCCCTCCTCACCGCCACCAACCTTGCTTTCTAAGCTGGAGGGGGGGGGGGGGGGGAGAGAAACAAAAGAAGAGAAAGATGCACCGTGTCTGCATTGTTAAAGAGCCAGACCTGACTGTGTTGTGCAAGCGAAGCTGCAGAACCCGAAGGTTTTCAACACAGAGGTTTTGACCTAGGAACGGGATGCGGAGCTGTCAGGTCTCTTTTCGGTCGTGGTGGCGCTGTGTTCCATCTGTCAGTAAAATGGCAGATTGGAAACTGCAGAGGCTTTCATTCTGTGAGGTAGCAGGTTTCCGGAAGGGTGAGATAGAGGGTCAGAAAGACATCGATGGGAAGAAAGTTAAGTAAAGAAGAAAAAATAAGGTCAAGAAGCTTTGGTGCGAAAAGGAGATGAGCACACACTGGAGTTGCCAAACCTCAGCCTTTCATAAGGTTGGCTTTCCTCAGCATCAAATCTGTATTTAACGCTTACCTTACTGGAGAAGTTTCCTTAAACCAGTATTCTCATGAGTCAACTACAGAAAAAGAGTTATGATATAGAGGAAATTTGCTACGGGTACACGATATCTTTCCCAAACATTTCCAACTCTTATTGCTATTTTAGAGAAAGGTAGCCACTTGTCTTTAGAATAGGACTAAAAGAAATAGAATTAATTAATTTTAAATCAACCCCAATTTTAAGAAAATAACAACACCAGGAACTATCTATATGGTTAAATTATTCACAACCCTTAAGAGGTTCGGTCCCCCCCCCTTTATAGCTTACACATATATTTTTGAAGAGTTGATAGGCAAGTCTACACTTTTTAAAAAATTATTTTTCTACACTTAGTCCATTTTGTAGTTGTTCAGAATAGTTTTAGTTTTACATGTAATTCCAAGTATTTTCATTTGTAGGCATCTTCTTAGGTGATATATGTTAGGCTAACTGGTACTTTTAGCGTTGAATATGGTAAATTGTGTCTTTAATGTGCCAATTTCTTTGAATGGAGTCAAACTTTGAGACAGAATGACCCTAAACCTAAAAGGTGATGCATGTCACCTTCTTTCATGGTAATAAGATTATTTTCTTTTGTATATCTTTCCAAGATGAATCCATTCCTGACTTCTTTAGTCTGTAAAAATAGCCAGGTACTGTCTCTTGGGTTTTCCTCTCTGGTGATCCATTCAGCTAGTCAATTTGGTGCTTTCTCTTTGGGATTTTTATTTTTCTCTAAAGCACTGAAAAGGCATGACTAGGCAAAATGCTCTCTTAAAAAACAAAGAAAGTCAATACTGCCCAACATCAGCTACTTTAAAGAAAGGAAGATAGTTCCTTTGCCTCCATCATTCCTGTTAGTATCTACTCTGTTAGAAAGTAAGCATTTTCCTTTTGTAAAGAAACAGTACTGAAAAGCTCCTTCTCCACCTCACCTCCCTTTCTGTTTCTGGGCTCTTCTTCTAAGTCACTGAAATACAGTAGTGGGGGAGGGGGGAGAAGTTACCCACCAACTTTCCACATTCTTTCCAGGAACCCACAATCCTACTAAACTGTCTGACTTATTTAATAAGCCTGGGCTAGATTAATGTGGTCTGCCCAACAAAATTACAAAGCCAAAGCAAACTTATTTGTAATTAGGCAGAACCACCCTGAAGCTGAGAAGCCATCAGAAAACACTAAAGGCTGTCCCCCAAACAGATAGAAACCCAAACAAAGCTTGGCTTCCAATAACTTGGCTTCATAACCAAGGTACCTGACAGCTGTCACGTGGTTCTCACAAAATGACAAGAGGCCACATCTCTTTGAGTCTTCCCCCACGGAAATCTCCCAGCAGAGCCCAAATGAACACTTTGTATCTCAAACTTTACCTGCCCACTTATCCACTCCATTTCTCATTCCCACCCCTTTAGAAATCCAGGGTAACGGCTCACTTTCTCAGGAGAAGAGATGTGTCCAAGAAGTTGATGCAAATCCACAGAGCTTTCGTTCCGGTGTTCCGGGGACCTCGGAGCTTATGTCTGTCTGTCAGAGAAAAGTTCAACTTTGTAGTATTATGTGTATATAAACGACTTTCTGACGGAGCACGCCCGCTCGCCTACTTCCACACCCACATGGATTTCCCCCAGACAATGGTGGTAACCTCCAAACGCAGCTGGGTTGGGAGAGGGCTCCTTGATGGCTCTCCGCGGCCGGGCTGCAGCTGAGTCTGGCAGCAGGCTAGAATCGAGGTACCAAGCCGTGCCAGACGCTCCCCAGGAAGTGCAGTGGTATTCATGAGCTGACCTCACCGGGCTGGGCAGGAGAGAGGGCGGGATTGAGAGCAGGACAGGACAGAAGTAACCACAGAGAGGTTACTTTGAAGAGAAAAGAGAAGGTGGAGGTCAGAAAGGGGGTGGGAGGTTGGGGGAGGGGGACTGGGGTGGAGAGTGGGAGGAGGAAAGCAGACACAAAAAGGCCAGAGCCACGCCCGAGCTGGAAGATTGGCATCCGAGCTCAAAGTCCCAGCTCCACTCACATTTCCCGTACTTGGCCAAGGATCCCCCAAACCGCTTAAAATCGGATGCATTGATTTTCTGCAAAGCTTTTGTCTCGGCTCGGATCAATCTCCATCAATTATTTACTTGAGCGCTTTGCTTTAGCAGGCGGGCTCCAGCAGCCTTCCGGGCTGCCCGGCCTCTGCGGCGGCAGCTGCGAGGCGCTGGCGAGCGAGCGGCTGCCGGAGTTCTCTTTGTTCACTCACTTTAATTCTCAGACGAGCTCTCCACGCGGTGCGCCCTCCCCACCCCCAGCTCGGGCGGAGTCACTCGACGTCTTTTCCATGAATAGATCCTGCCCGCCAAGCCCACCGTCCCACAGACAAAGGGTTCTTGGGAAATCTCGACTAATTGACTGCATAAATATTAGCTTACAGGGAAGGTTTGCTGGCGAGTCAGCCCTTGCTTGGCACATTTTCTTTTCTCCTGTACAGAGAGACGGATTTTTTTTTCTCCTCTTCCTACAAAACCCAGGTGCATTTGCTGGGATCCACAATCTTTATTGCGGTGTCCATGAGTGATGGAATCGGGAAGAACGCATTTATTATAAAATAGCAGGGTAAAAAGGAATTCACAATCTATGTTTTCATAACTTAACTCTTCTGCATGCTGCTACACAGTAACAATGTGTCTTTTTAATAAAGGGAATTTTCTCCTTTTCCTTCTTCATTTTTTTTTTTCCTTTTTGAGTCTCCCTCCTACCTACAAGGATTCCTTTGTGAGCTGGAACGTGAGAATAAAAACAAATGTAGAAAAGGGCATTTGTAGAAATCAAATTTCTTTTACATTGCTATGGTGATTTTGTAAGGAAAGGTGGGGGTAAATGCCATGAACAAAGCATTTGTGCTAATACGAATTTTAGTGTAGGTTTTTTTTTTTTATAAGCATGAATTTTACATATTGTTAAATTAAGGGGAAATGAAAACAATTTGAGGGTAATTTGGCATGCAAGCAGTCATTACAGTAAACCAAAGTATGTTTAAAACCATAGTAACTAATAATCTTCCTTAACAAACAGGACAATGGTTATCATAACAAGATCATTTCCTGATAAAACCTGAGAAGCTGTGAGTGCCTGGTACTGTCCAAGGTGCTAAGAATACAAGTTAAAGTTAATATATTGTGCCTGGGCTGAGGAGGTTCAAGCATAGTAGCTAGAGTTGAGGTTAATTTCCTTATTCTTCTAATAATTTATGGAGGTGCAAAAGAAGTATTTGTGATATCTATGAGGAAAAGCTTAAACACTTGACTAGCTTATCATAAGAAAGGGAGAAAAGACCAAAGTGAAAGTGTAGTCTTGTTATTTTGAGCTTGTATTAGATAATTTCTCATCATGAGCTCAATTTTAACTCACAATATTTTTGAAAAATCTCAAGATCCACAGTGTCCATTCAAACAAAGGAGACATAATGGATAGAGATAACTTTCAATAATCTTTCAAAATAAAATATTGGCATAGTCTTCCTTGTTTAAGAATTTGTCCTGTGTTCAAACATCTCCATGTCAATTTTCCCCACCTTGAATAAAATTTCAATGTAATTTTAAGACGTATAATATCAAACAGGAATCTGTCATTTTGCCTGACACTTTATAACTTAGTAGAATATACTTTCAAAGTTGACTATAATCATAAAGATAAATAAAAATAATATTTAAGGTATGTCTTTATCTATGTAAATATAAGAGAGCATAAGAGAATGAACTATTGCATTACAAGTTTTTCTAGTTTATTCCCTTATTTACTTATCAACATTATACTTCTTCAATTAAGGAAACCTCAAAGCTGATTATTCTTCAGAATCTAGAGCAACATGATGTTTGCTATTTCCGAAATAGGTATGCCAAAAAAAACCTTAAGATGTACTTGCAATCATTAATCATCAACTGTATACCACAGCAGAAGATACTCATCTTCAATCAAGGGAAGAAGCTAAAGTTTCAAGTCTGAAACCATTAAAAAACACAGAGATTAAAAATCTTATCCTTTAATCACTGTTACTTTAACTAAATCACTATTGCTAATCTAAGTAGCTACACCGTTTACAAGGCTCTCTTATTTTGTGCCTCCAAAAGGCTGTGATGTAGATATTATCTTCCTTACTTGATTTATTCTGATGGTAAATGTCTTAAAATAATATGTCATGTTCTTCATTTTTTCTAGGAGACACAGAAGCTGTTCAATATATACCAATTGATTTCTGATTCCTACCAGAAGAAAGCTGATGCTTTAAAATCTATCCTCCCTTTTTCAAGAGTAGTATAGCAAAGAGATGTGTCATTGTCCTGACCTTTACTGGCATGTGTATGAAGTCACATACCATATTTGTTCTCTGATGATACTTTTGATAGTAATGAATCATAGACTCTTTGGGTTGTAAACAACATGATTCATCCTTCCTTTTGTCTCTAAGTAGTCTAACAAGA